TGTGATTCTGCAATATTTAGACTGACAAAGGGAATGACAGATTTTATTAAATCTTATGGATTCAGATAGCTTACTCTAGCATAAACATATTCCCATGAATAAGCCTTAATTATTACATAGCAATACATTTCCAGTCTTCAGGAAGCACAATGGTGAAATACAAAGGGCAATACTAGACTTTGAATCAAGAAACAGATCCAGAAAATATGTTACCTTGGATAAATTAGCTATATAAACTCACCTTCCTCATCTGTAAAACAGAAATAATAAATTAAATGTTACAATGTGGCGTTATCTAGCACTGGAATGGCAAATATATTTTAATTTTTGTGATCCATTAGAGGTTGATGTGTAAAGCATTCACTTCAGAACGAGTCAGTTAGGGCTCAGCATGACCTATGAGTGATATTTTACAAGGGTTCAGATGTCCTTTGCCTGGAAGAGGATAGGTATCTCAAAATTCTGTAGTTTCCAGTTCTTTCTCTTTGTCCTTCTCACTTTTTGTGTTCTAACATATGTAATATAAATTGTGGATACAAGTTGATTCAATATAAAATATCAATATAGAGTTCAAGTGAATTAAATGTTTTGAATATTTGTTCTTTTTCTCTGCTCCCTACTTATACCCCAGTACCAAGATCAAAAAATTTTTTTAGAAAATTTCTAAAGACAATAGAAAAGAAAAGTAGAACATAGCAATGACACCAAAAACACATTTGGAAGCTGGAAAGCAGGTGTTTGAAAGGTAACTGACAACAAACACTAGAAATTTAACATTTAAGATTTGCTATGGTATTTGAGACCAGCCTGAGCAAGAGTGAGACCCCATCTCTACTAAAAACAGAAAAAAACAAATTAGCTGGGCATGGTGATGCACGATGGTAGTTCCAGCTATTCAGGAGGCTGAGGCAGAAGGAACACTTCAGTTCAGGAGTTTGACGTTGTTGTGAGCTAGACTGACACCATGGTACTCTAGCCTGGGCAACAGAATGAGATTCTGTCTCAAATAAATAAATAAATAAATGTTTTTTTAAAAAAGTAAGATTTGCTGTGGGGAAGCAAAGAAGAAAACTTATTCACAATGTGGACACTACAAAGGCTAGGAATTGGAAAGTGTTTGAAAAATTGTTTGAAAGGCATAATTAGACCAACTGATTCTCTGAGCAACTACACATATTCAGGAGATTCTTCTGCCCTTTTGCCATGGCAGGAAACTAAATTCTCACCCTCCTCAAATGTTAAATCAGAGAGGTTCTAAATTCAGGGATTTCTGGCACAACTAAAGATACAAGGTAAAGTACCTGGCTAAAAATAGGATAATGAAATTAAAACTTCATACCAAATTTTGCTGAGAACAGTAGCAGTTTCTCATTTATCACAGGTAGAACATTAGAGGGATCTTCTGTTGGAAAAACCTCATATTTCACATCTCAGAATAAGACATCTGGACCCCATTTATTGTCCTACTTTATTTTTTTATTTATTTATTTATTTTTTTGAGACAGAGTCTCACTTTGTTGCCGAGGCTAGAGTGAGTGCCATGGCGTCAGCCTAGCTCACAGCAACCTCAAACACCTGGCTCAAGCAATCCTTCTGCCTCAGCCTCCCAAGTAGCTGAGACTACAGGCATGCGCCACCATGCCCGGCTAATTTTTTCTATATATATTAATTGGCCAATTAATTTCTTTCTATTTATAGTAGAGACGGGGTCTCGCTCTTGCTCAGGCTGGTTTCGAACTCCTGACCTCGAGCAATCCACCCGCCTCGGCCTCTCAATATTGTCCTACTTTAAAGATCGCATGTCAAAAAAATATACATACATAAACACAGTTTTCAAATAGTATTTTAGAAACTTCTTAAATGGTAGTAAATGCATAAAGAATATCAGCATTTTAGAGAAAAGTTCTAATAAAAAATTCGTTTGGGAGAATAGGAGAATGCAGTGTGTAGAAGAGATACCAACAAAAAATTAAACAAACAAATTCATATAGTATTAATATCCTTAGAAGTATAGAGAAGATATTGTATCTATGAATTGAGAATAGCTGTGTGTGTATGTGTGTGTAAAAGGAATAATGGTAAAAATTTAGATATTATAAATTTTATTACATAATTGAAACATATCAGAATTAGAAGATAAAATGTTTCTCCCACAGAAAAATCAAATAAATAACTAGATAATGACTAAAATAGCTCTGGAAATGAATCAAAAATTAACAGCAACCAAGTGAATACCTAACTAAGAAAAAGTCATACTCCAAAAAGAAACACATTTTTTTGGTGATTTTATTTACCATGGTCTACCCATCTACTTGGTGTGGTGCAGTGTGATTGTGTAGGAAAACAGCCTTTTTCATGGCAAGAAAGACACTATCTTGAAGCAAAACGTCCCTCCCTGATGATTGATGATGTTGACTCCGCATACTAGGGTGTTCTGCAGCAAGGTCATTAAACAATGCCTGCGGCATAAATAACCCCTCACAAAGATACTTATCTAATCTTCCCAGTGGTCATGAGTTTCAGAAAAAAAAGTCTGAGGCATGACCAGCTACACATGTCTTTACCTTAAAAAACTTGCTATTAAAAGGACTCTTTCTGGAGAGTGGGTTCAGGGATATATAGTGTTGTAGCCAACTGAGATATTATTTGTTTGTAAACCTTATTAAATATTTCTTTCTGAGAAATTGGATTTGTCAGCCACTTTCTTTGGCCCCTCAGCTCCTTCAGCCTTTAGGAGTACAGAGAAGGTTGGGAAGAAGTAACCCATTCAAGTTTCCCTTCGTCAAGTATGGGAGGATAGAAGAAGCAGAGTAGAAATTGTTTAGAACATTCTATTCAGTCTATGGAAACATATTCTATATTTATGAATTAGAATATTTAGTATTGTTAAGATACTATTCAAAGTGATCTACAAACTGTATGTAAATTCCATTAAAATTTTAATCATATTTTTTAATAAATTCCCCCAGCCCCAAATTCATATGGAATTGCAAGGGACCCAAAAAAGCCAAAAATATTGAAGATAAGAACAAAGTTAGAAGTTTCATTCATCCTAATTTTGAAACTTACTTCAAAACTACGATAGTCAGAAGAGTATGTGATATAACAACAGACACAAAGATCAATAGAATAGAATACCCAGACATAAACTCTTGCATATATGGTCAAATGATTTTCAACAAGACTTTCAATACCAATGGGGAAAGGACAGTCTTTTCAGCAATGGATGTTCAAAGACTGTCCTTTGGATATCCATACACACACAAAAAAATCTGAAGTTGTATTCTTACTCTATATTATATACAAAAAAATTAACCCCAAATGGATCAAAAACCTAAATGTAACAGCTAAAACTAAAAGCTTAATGACATCGAATTTGTCAATGATTTATTGAATACAACACAAAAAAGTACAGATAATAAAAATATAAGTTGGATTTTATCAAAATTTAAAACTTTTTTGAGTCATATGACATTATAAACAGTGAAAAGGAAACACATAGAATGGGAGAAAATATTTGAAAATCATATGTCTGATAAGGGACTGATATACAGAATACATAAAGAAAGCATACTGTTCAACAACAAAAATACAAACAACCCAATTAAGAAATTGGCAAAGGACTTGAATAGACATTTCTCCAAATAACATACCCAAATAGCCAAGTAAGCAAGTGAAAAGATGAAGATGACCAACACTATCAATCATTACAGAAATGCGAATTAAAACTACAATGAAATACCATCTCACACTCAGTAGGATGGCTATAATTTAAGTAAACACACAAACAAACAGGAAATACCAAGTGTTGACTAGAATGTAGAATAATTGGAACACTTGTGCAATGTTGATGGGAATGTAAAGTAACACATATGCTTTGGAAAATAGTATGGCTGTTCCTCAAAAAAATAAAAGTAGAATTACCATATGATCTGGAAATTCTATCTCTAGATATACTCCAAACAATTGATAGAATGGTCTCAATTGTATACCCACATTAATAGCATCATTGTTCACAATCGCTAGAGTGTAGAAGCAACCCAAGTATCACTGATGAATAAATGGATAAGAAAAATGTGTTATATACACACAATATTATATCAGCCTTAAAAAGGAAGAAAATGCTGACACATGATACAGCATACATGAACCTTGAAGGCATTATTCTAAATGAAATAAGTCAGTCACACAAGGACAAATATTGCATGATCCCACTTACATGAGATACCTCAAGTAATCAACATAGAGAGACAAAAAGGTAGAATGGTGGTTGCCAGGGGCAGGGGTTAGGAGAGAATTGGGAGCTAGTGTTTAATGAGTACAGTTTTAGTTAGGGAGGATGAAAAAGTTCCGGAGACAGATGTTTGGGATAGTTGTATCGTAATATGAATGGACTTATTACCACAGAGCTGTGCAGTTAAAAATGGTTAAAATGATAAATCTTATGTTCTGTATACTCGACACAAAAATAATATAAGAAAAATGTGTAGAATTGTGAGACATAAATTTTCAGATTGAAAAGGCACTATAAATTAAATAAAGTGAAAATAAACCAAAAAAACAAAAACTGAGACAAATCACTGTGAAACTACAGAATACCTGGTAGAAAAAGAAACTGCTGAAGGAAATTTAATATTATTTTTTAATTTAAATAATTTATAATAATTAATCTGATACTTGATATTTCCTGAAGGAGATACAATGGTGGCATAGCCATACAGTAACAAAGCTATCAGTTCAATGATTCTTGCTAACACCAATTTCTCCTAATTCACAATTTCTACCCAAAATCAAGTTCATGATATCCATGAAACCACCTTCTGAATATGTATATTCAGAAAATACTGACTGACATATAAGTATTTTATCTAGAAGTCTCAACATATATTCCATAAATTCTTGTATTTATAATTCAAAATCAATACACCCAATTTCTAATAATATTATTTAGTCTTCATCAAAATGTTTATTAAATACAATTAAAAATCCATATAACTAACCTTTTTGAATGAGATGGCTTGATTTTTTGGATTTCCTGTCAATATCTTTTGTTTTTAATTCATTTAAAATAGAAGATACATATTTTCTGTGTTCACTAGAAATTTTTAAATCAACAGGAGAATATATATTCTGTGAAGACAAAATAAAAGCAATGACAATGATAGTATTTCATGTGTTTTAGTTTTCAAAGAGCTCTCATATGTATTATATATTTTCATGACTGATTTTTCATTTATAAAACAACAAAAAACCTGTGAGGTAAGAAGAGTTAAGTAAAAAAAAAAAGAGCTCCACTGTCATTGTGTATAATTTTCATAAATTGTTCTTCTATTAACAGTTAATGATGTACCTTGGACAATATGGTAAGGAAGATTGAGGGACAAGTGGTACTGCCAGGAGCGTGCCATGACAAAAGGAACAACAGAGGAGGAGAAACAAGGAATAAAAAGAAGCAGGATAGTGTTGCCCAGAGAGCCTAAAGGAAGACTCTGAGTAAGAAAGAGAGAAAATTATTTCACAGAACACTAAAAGGCAATAATAGAAGGAAAAACGAGGGGCAGCAACATAGGAAGAAAAGGAGGGAGAAATGGAACCAGAATTATCAAATATCTTAAAAGGACAAATGGATCATATATGTGTGGGAGGAATAACATTATAGTAGAATATTGAAGAGGAACTTCATGGAGAATGGGAGCACTATCAAATATAAACTGTATAATGTTCATCAACTGGTTAGGATATTTTAATAATACTGTGTTATCTGTTTTTCTCCTCACAGTTCATCCAGGACTGTTATATAGGTATCACCAGGTCATCAGGGACCAGGCTCTTTCAAAATTTCTTTATCATCTCTCTTACTGCATCTACATAAGTTCTATCCTAAAAGTTTTCTCATGAGTCAAGATAGGCACTGCAGCTCCAAACATAGAATCAGGAAGAAAGAGGAAATGAAAAAAGGGCAAAAACCATGTGTCTTAAGGAGCTTTCCAAAAGGTTCTTCAAATAACTTCTGTTTATATTCCATTGGCCATCCACAGGTACAAAAGGGAGGGAAGGGAATGTGGGCTTTTTCTAAGTATTTTGCTGCCTTGGATAAAATTGTGTGCCTATTACCAAGAAAGAAGAAAAGGATAGATATTGGTAGGCAACAGATAGTCTCTGGCACAGGGAAAACTTCAGAACCTTAGAGGGGGATATATGTTTGTATATTGAAAACTTTTCCCAGGATATTACTCTTCTTGGTGAGAAATGCTGATCTAAATTCTTAAGACTCACAAATATTTATGTTCAGATAGATCTTCTTTCTGAGATGCTTGTATTTGTAAATTTGCTTATGATGCACTTAGATAGTACTTATCATTTGCCATATTTTAAACTCATTACAGATATTAACTCATTTAATAATCATAACAACCACGCTGTGCTCTTTCACCCTGGAAAATCTCACAGACATCTAGCAATCAAGAAAATTAAAGTCATATTTTCTCCTCTAAATCTATTAGTACTTATTCCTAGTTTTGGTGAATGGCACCACCTTCATCCATGGAGAGGAAAGTCAGATAAACTCTCCGACATATCATAGCTGATGGAATTTTTGGAATAGAGAATTCATCCTCACATTTCCCCTACTATTCTGACCTGTCTACTTATTTAAACAGCCTTTATTCGATAATTTAGAAAAGACATTGGGCTATGTGTCCTAGTCTCCTGTATATACAATATTTGGCCAAAATTCCTATACCATACAATACAGATGTACTTAATTAAATATCCTAAAGTTTCTAACTTTTAAATTTTATATGCAATGTTTTCTGATTTACTTTTTAAAAACAAACTGTCTCTATGTAGTGACAATAGTGCAAAGATTTTTTAATGCTCATTACAGGTAGTAGGTCCTAGAATGAATCTCAGTTTTTATTCTTTACTGAAAGTTCCTTCACTCATTAACTCCTACACCAGACAATTTCCTTTCAGTCTTTACATGACAAAATCACTACATTTTGGTAGAAATACAAATAAGTAGGTATTTTTGAGTTCATATATTCTCTTTATATTAGTATTTAGAAATTTTCCTTAAGGTTTCCAATAATAATTATAATTTAATAGTTCATAATATCAAAGCCTATTATCAAAATATAATTTTAAGCAATGTCTCTATTTTCATTTAGCCCCAATTCTTTCTATTAAGCAAGTATGACAAAAATAATTTAGAATAGTATTTTATAATCAAATATGTAACAATCAACCCCAAATGCTTTTTTAACTTCAGATGCTTCTGTAATTCCTTTTCAAGTTACATCATCATTGTTTTATCTTCCTACTAATAAGAATTGTGCTCTGTTTTGCTAACTTCTGTCTCTCTCTCTCTCCTAACCCTTTGCACTCGCTTGCTTTTTTGTCAATTCCTTTATTCTACTCGGGATTTAATTTTTTAAATACCTCAGATTTTACAAAAACTGGAGTTTCTTTGCATGCAAACTTATTTATTTGGATGTTTTTATATTTCAAATTATTGATACATTCAAAGAGTAATTTTGATCTCAATAATTTTTCATGGAGTGAGCTGCTAATGATGCTAACCGTGTTGAGTCACACTTGACATCCGAGTGCAAAGAGCTAACAATGTAATTTGTCACATGTTAAAAATCACTTCAAATTTCATGTGAGCCATAAAAATGGGCCATTTCTTCTTCTATATATCACACTTTTATGCTACCTATGATAATCAGTATAAGCTCAATGATCCTATTTTAACTAGTACTTATTCCTTTACATGCACCTGAATAAGAAAACCAAACATGTATGTCCATGTGTCATACCTGATGTACCCATTTTCTATCACAAATAAAGTTAATTGAAAGAATCATGAAATTTAAAAGGTCAGAAATTAAGTAGATAGTTAGTTCCTTTCAGAAGTTTCTTTAGCTCTTCCATTTATTCTTTCTCATGTATCTACCTGTAATTGTGTGTCATCATTTAAAATAATTTTTCCTTGCTTTTATAAAAGAAAAATACATGACAAAGGGTACATAAGTGACAGTGGAACAAATATATAGGAAGATGATTAGAAGGTCTAAAGCTCAAAATGAACTGAGGCTTACACAAATTGTTAGTGTAAAGAAAATGGGCTTGGGGGGGCGGAACAAGATGGCAGATGAGAAACGCTGCCAGAATGTCTCTGCAAAAAAGACAGTTTCTAGAAGCAATTAGAGGAAAGAAGCAGGCAGACGAGCATACATCGGCTGAGGCTCAGAAGGAGGGGTACCAGAGACTATAGGAGATTCCACAGGAGAAGGTTGTGGAGGAGAACTGGAAGTGAAGACCTCCCGAGTAGACTGGAGACCAGCAGCAAGGGTAGGTGCAACAGTTACTCTCCCCTCTCTTGAATCTCGGACTGCTGGTGGGCTCCCCAGTGGGTGGAGAGACCTGAGGACACCAGGCCAGAGACCGCCACCACCAGTGAGTGGTAAGCCTGCAGCGGTTGCAGCACCAGGCTCCCAGTTCCCTTGGGGCACTCTGTGTGCACAGACCTGAGCTGCGGCAGGCGCCATATTGATCCATTCTCCCCCCCAACACACACACCCTAACCGTGACTGCAGAGAGAGACAATATAGCCAACAGCCGGAGGCATTGCCAGAGATCGGGACCTTCCCTTTTGGGGCCCCTCAGCTGACTGAGAGGTACTCAGACTTTGAGCTTCCTACCCACCAGCTCTCCCAGGTACTACTGGCCTGGTGATTCCAGGAGAACGGGGCAGACCCTGAGGCTGAGAGACAGCAACCCAGCTTGGGCTCCCATGGGTGGAGTGGGACTGGCACTCCTCTCCCTGGTGGGGTCAGGGATTGAATTCACAGGCCCAGAGAGGTCAGACCTATGGACCAGATCCCATGCACCCAGGTCTCGCATTGCCCAGGGCACAGAAGATTTATTCATGAACAGCCTACTGAGCTGTGTGTGACTTTAAGGGCAGATCAGGGTCCTTGAGGGCAACCCTCCTCCCAAGGTGGGGCTGTGCGCCCAGCCCAGGTGGTGAAAAGCACACCCCCAAAGAAGAACACCAGCCCTGTAGAAGTGGACACCAACCAAAACCAGACCACTAAAATGACAAAAGAAGAATTTCGCCTGTGATCCTAAGAAAATTCAGTGAGTTGTAAGAAAAACTGGATGATCAACACAAAGAAAATGCAAAAAGATTCCAGGACATGGAACAAAAATGCACTAAAGATATTGAAACAATGAAGAAAAGTCTAACCAAACTCCTGGAAATGAAGAATCAATTCAAGGAACTGCAAACACAGTGGAAAGCCTCAACAACAGGGTAGATCATACAGAAGAAAGAATCTCAGAGATTGAACATAACACTTTCTAATTAAATAAATCAGTCACAGAGATAGAGCAGAGAAACAAGAGAAAAGAGCAGAGCCTACAACAGATGTGGGATTATGTGAAGAAACCTAATGTGAGGGTTATAGGGTTACCCAAATGGGAAGAAGAAAACACTCAGGGTTGGGTAAGCTATTCAAAGGTATAACCCAGGCCTTGGTAAAAATCTTGAAATACAAGTTCAAGAAGCTCAGAGGACCCCTGGGAGATTCAATGCAAACAGGAAGATATCATGACATGTAGTCATCAGACTGACCAAAATATCAACTAAAGAGGCCTTTCTACAAGCTATAAGGTGAAAGAAGCAAGTTACATACAAAGGAGAGCCAATCTGAATAACACCAGACTTCTCTACTGAGATTTTACAAGCAAGGAGAGACTGGCCCCATTCTCACTCTTCTGAAACAGAACAATGCCCAGACAAGAATCTTATTCCCTGCAAAACAAAGTTTTGCATACGAAGGAGAAACCAAGACATTCTCAGATAAGCAAAGACTGAGGGAATTCATCAAGACAAGACCAGCCCTTCAAGAAGTACTCAAAACAGTGTTACCCACAAATCAGCACAATAAACACTCACGAATGTAAAGCTACTCAAAAGCTAAAGATCAAAGCCCAGAAACCACAATGGCTCAAGAGAGAAAACAAAGCAACAAAGTTCAACCCAACATAATGAACAGAAATCTGCCCCACCTATCAGTTATCTCAATATGTGAATAGCTTGAACTCCCCACTCAAGAGACATA